CTTACCGGCATCACTAAAGTCATTGGTCGAGACTCCACCGAACCGAATGATGTGCAAAATGCAGCGTATTCGGCATTGGCGCAACATGCTCGTAGTTTCCCGCAGGACGTAAGCCAGGATCTAAAGCTGGTGCTGGGATACTTTAATAACCTGGCAAGCTGTGCGCCAGAACTTCATTCCTCCATAAGAGAGGCATTGGTTTCGATGGCACCAGCTTTCGCTTGGAAGACAAAGGAGAAGAGCGATGCAATGGAAGTGGATGAGGAAACCGATCCTTCCAGCGTGAAGTTGGATGGCCAGCAGCATCTGCTTTTGGCCATGCTGCTGGACAATGCTGAGTCCAAGGTGCAGATCGTGCAAAATGTAACCAGTGTTTTTCTCACCAGCTGTTATCCGGAGTATTATGCACCAGCCAGGTACCTGTTGCTGCTCATCGCGGGAGAGCGGTAAGTTGATTATCAATTGAATTTTCCATTCAGCTTGATATATCGTTTGTTTTTCTTAGCAATTCCCTGCGCGAGAATGTGACCACCTATTTGTACGGCACCTCTAAGAAAGATCACGTTAACTACAATATGCTGTCTTCCATCGAGCAGGCAGAAAATCGCATTAACAGCGAGTCTATAAGTGACTTTAATCACCTGTCCCTGGAGCAGCGTCGAGTAGTGTTACCCAGCTTCCAAGTGATGATGTCGCACGTCCACGAGATGGCCAACAAGCGACTAAAAAAGAACACAGCCTGTGTAGTGGTGGGTCGCACCAAGCTGCCCTACAGCCTGGAAGTGTACGAGGAGCTGCTGGATTACCTTCGCCTGTGCCTGTGGTATTCGGCAGGCGTGGTGGCGGCCCCTGGCGACGAGAAGTACACCCATGAGCTGCGGAAGTACATCACCCTGCATTACGAGGAAGCGGAGGACAATGCCTTGCATCAATATATGCAGTTTGTCCAGCGCAGTGTGGAGGCGAAGAGAAGTAAGTGAGCAACGGGTTTGCCATTGAATCAATTAACGACTTTTCGGTTTTCAGGCGACACCAATCTCATCTGTCTCTATGACCTGTTAAATGCTGCCCCAGAACTGTTTGCTGCTAAGCAGCTACATCTGTTGGAACCTCTTGGCAACACCTTAAAGGATGTATCCGAGACCATGCGCATTAATGTGGCCCAAGTCTATGCTATTCTGTGGGCTTTCGGTCTGTCCGACGAGAAGTTTGATGAGGAGGTGGGTGAATGTTTGAGTAGCCTTACACAAAAGACATTGGAGCACAAACACGGTTGGCTTTTGGTGGTGGGACACACTTTCAACCGCAAGATTGCTATGCTCAAACAAGAGAAAAAATCCAAGGACTTCGCTGCATGGCCGCAGTTTGTTAATGCGGTAAAGATTATCTGTAAGTTTATACCGCTACAAGCTTAAAGGGCCCCACTAATGTGGTTTTTCTTTGTCCAGCAAAAACTCTTTGTGAATCCCAGTGGCTGCTTGTGTCGGCAGCTGTGAAATGCATCTCCATGATCGGCAAGGCAGTGGAGATACCGAACGTAACGGTGGAGATTCAAGTACCATCCAATGATGCGGACGACGACGAGGAGATGACCGAGTATACGAGCATAGATTCCTCAACCAAGTTGGTGATTTTCGGCGTGGTCTTCCAATTGCTGCGCAGCTCCTCAGCGCGTCAGAAGATTCGTGAGGAGTCAGCCAGATGCCTGGGATACTTGGCCATTGGCGATGGCGAGCACTTCACCAAACGCAACCTGGATAAGTTTCTTACACTGGCCAAGGTTCAAAAGGATGCTGCATTAAACATAGCCATATCGGAAGCGATCGTTAACACACTCTGTGGCTATGATGTAAACAAGGGGCAACCGGATGAAAAGTTTGTGAATAAGCACTGCAACGACGGCGACTTTGAGCAGTTCCTGAACTCGCTAATCCGCCTTGTCACCGAACCCAATCCGCATTCCCGCCAGGCCATTTCCGTATGGCTCCTAGCTGTGGTGAAACACTGTAGCCAACGCCCAGCTGTGTTGGCCAAAAAGGAGCTGTTGCAGTTCGCTTTCACCGAGCTCCTTTCCGATGATAGCGGTAGGTCATCAATCATTTTCATATATTCTGTAAATTTATTAATTTCTTCCAACAGAGTTTGTGCAGGATGTTGCTTCCCGTGGCTTGGGACTGGTCTACTCGCTATCCGATTCTGGCAGCCAAACTGATTTGGCCAACTCATTGTTGGATCAGCTAATTGGAGGAAAACGCAAGGTGAATCAGGTGTCCGCAGACACTGAACTCTTTGCCGAAGGAATGCTGGGCAAAACGCCCACGGGAGGAAACATCACCACCTACAAGGAGCTGTGCTCCCTGGCTTCAGATCTCAACCAGCCGGACATGATCTACCAGTTCATGCAACTGGCTAATCATAATGCCACCTGGACCAGCAAACTGGGAGCTGCTTTTGGATTGAAAACCCTTTCCGCTGAGTCCAGGCAGAAGATGCAGCCATATCTCGGGAGGATCATTCCCCGCCTGTATCGCTACAAGTACGATCCCACTCCAAAGATTCAGAACTCAATGATCTCCATTTGGGACACAATTGTAAGTGACTCAAAAGAGGTTACGGAGCGTTACTACTGGGAAATATTGCGTGAGCTGCTGGACAATCTGACTTGCAAGGAGTGGCGAGTGCGTATTGCCTGCTGCCTGGCAGTTAGAGATCTCTTAAAGCGTCCCAACGGCCTAAAGTTACGATCCGAGGAGCAAGTGCGTCGTGTTCCCGCCGCCAACAGTATGGAAGTGGATGAGGTGCCCGAGCCGGAGCTGAAAGAGCTTTGGTTCCAGCTCTTCCGCGTGATGGATGATATTCATGAAGGCACAAGGGTCACTGCCCACGGAACCGCCGCATTTCTGGGCAAGCTGTGCGTCATAGCCTCATCCTCAGATCATGGAAAATCCGGCACAGCAGTAGCATCCTCAACTCTGCCTTATCTTTTGGAAACCGGAGTCGGCCACAAAGTACCCGAAATACGCAAAGTGAGCATCAAGACCATCTCCGACATGATTGACTCCTCGGGTGCGCTAATCGCCCCGCATCTGGTCACCTTGATTCCCTGCCTGCTGCGCGCCACTGGGGAGTTGGAGAACACAAAGCTATCCTACGTATCCACTCGCTTGGGGGCGGATAACGAGGCTCAGGAAGCGGTGGACACGCTACGAGCGGAAGCTGCCAAATCCCACCACACCATGGAAACTATTGGGAAGTGTGTCCGCTACATTGATTATCCTGTCCTGGAAAAGATGACGCCCGAAGTGCTAGAGCTGATGAAGTCTAGTGTGAATCTTGGAACCAAAATTGGCTGTGCGCATTTCGTGTGCCTGGTAAGTTGATTAAATGCAGGATATAAGATATTTAGTGTTTAACTGTATCGATAATATTACAGATCAGTATCCGTTTGGGCAAGGAGATGACCCCAGTGGTGGGAAAGTATATTCGGGCCTGCTTTGTGGGCATCAAGGATCGTAATGCCACCGTGCGGAAGTACAACGCCAGTGCGATTGGCCACCTTTTGGGTTTGGCCAAGGAGCAGTCGATCAAGAGTCTTTTCGCCAAGCTGGACGAGCTATATGCCGAGCAGCCTGGAAATCGATCCATTGCTCTGACTATTCAGTCCATCAACAAGCGTCACCATGAACTACTCAAGGACTACATGGACAGTATGTTGCCGCTGATCTTTTTTGCTATGCACGAGGAGGCCAATGAGGAGACGAAGGCTAATGTTGAGCTGTGGAAGGATTTGTGGAACGATGTTAGCCCAGGGGATGCGGGCATCCGTCTCAATTTAAATGTCATCATACCCAAGTTGGAGACATCTCTCACCGATGCAAGTTGGTCACGAAAGGCGCAGGCGGCGAATGCCATCCAGACGATAGCCACTCGCCTAAGTAGCTCCTTGGATGAACCCGACAGGGTGAGACTTATCAAACTGCTTCTATGCGGCCTGCAGGGTCGCACTTTCGAGGGCAAGGAGCGTTTGTTGCAAGCTTTGGCCGGACTCACCAAAGGGTTAGATCGGAGCCATCAAATATGCCCGAATATTATTGACGCGGCCATGAGGGAGGCGAGAAAGAGGGAACCAGTTTATCGGACTATGGCTTTGGCTTCTCTTGGAGAAATCCTCGATCAACTGGAGGCAGATCGCTTTGAAGAGGTGTACAACATGAGCTGGAACTTGCTAGAAAAGAAGGAGCTGCGCAAGGAGTCCGACGACGAGGACGAGCCCAGCACCAGCCAGGACCTGACGGCCGACGAGCGCAACAAGAGGGCTCAAACACTCAATAGACTTAAGGAGGTTGTCTGGGAGACCTTGGGTAAGTCCTGGCCACGTCATTCCATCGAGACGCAGCACCGCTACCAACTCTTCTTCGCCGAAAACTGCACCAGCATTCTGGCGGAGAGCACTCGACCAGTGCAGGTCAGTCTGCTAGCAGCACTCACAAAATACATCGAAAGGCTCCATGTCTTCGATGAATCCGCTCAGTTGCCTGACCTGCCGCAGATAAACCAGGAGAAGAAGATCAAGACGGAGGCGCCGGCGCCAAAAACCCGGGAGGCTATAGTCGAAAAGATCTGCAAGGATGTTCTGGCTGCAGTGGCTCTGGCAGCTGGAGTCCCCCATTCAGGTCTAAAGAAGGAGGCCCTCAACATCGTCCTTATGCTGATCAAACGCTTGAGTGGAGCCAAGAACCAGCAGCCGCTGAGTCTGATCAAGCAGAGCTTTGAATCGAATTTGGAAAAGTTCCAGCGTGACTCCGCCCCGGAAATCCGCTGTCGCATCAAGGACATCGAAGAAAAGCTGAGCAAGTTGAATTCAGGGAATTAAGTCGTAGTTAAGTAAGGAATTCAATTATGCATGGCCAAAAACCCAGCCTTGGATAGATTTTAAAAGAGGGTAAGTGTGGAAATAAAACATCTAACTTTGGCAAAAATCAACGTTTTTTAAAAAAGGATTACTTTTTTAATGTGATTTATTGAATGGGAGTTTAAGAAACAATATAATACATATTCTAAATACTAAACATTTGTTTTAAGTACAATGACCTTAAAATTCTTTGGGGAACAATGAGATTCAGTGTAGTGGAAAGCTAGGAACTAATGGTGTGAAAATATCTTTTTGTTTAAATCACAGCCAGAGATTTTTTATATTTTTAAAACTATAATGTATCCCTGCAGAACCTTAAGTATATTTCATCCTGCGACGCCAACATGAACGACTTGGGGTTGAAGCGAATCTCCGGTACTGTTCGCTCGCAAACCTCAACCCAATATAGTTTTAAAATGTGGGCTATGCCCAATTTCAGCTGGAGGATGCCGAGACGACTACCAATACAGCCATGAGGCCCAGCTCCAAACGGTATATAGGTCATGGGGTGAATGTCCTTGGTCCGCTCTGGAGCGAACCTCTCGGGATCAAAGCGAAGAGGTTCGGGCCAGTACTGGAATAAAGATTGTAGTGTTATAACATTTATATTAATACTTTACAATTTTAATCGTACCTTTTCATCACGGTGCAGGCCAAGAATTGAGATGTAGGCTGGCATTCCTGGCGGCACAACGAAGTCCACATGCGGCTGTAGGGAGAACCCTACGGATTCCGAACTGGTGCACTCTCTGTTGGTAAACGCAGCAGCCGGATAGAGACGCAGTGCCTCCAAACATACCATTTTGAGATAAGGCAAAGCCATCAGTGAGTCACAGCTGATGGTGGAAGTGGAGATAAAGGCTTCACTTAGCTCCCTTCTCAGTCGGCTTTGAATATCTGGTGCTTTGGCCAGCTCGTAGAGAGTGAATCCTATTAGGGCTGAAGAAGTTTCAAATCCGGCCAGCAAAATAATGCCAGCCTGAGAGGCTATGAAGTCCGGATGTTGGGAATAGTGGTTAGATGAGTGCCTGAGCTGGAAGTGCTGCAGTTGATTTATGAGATCACCCTTTTCTGGCTCGCGATGATCCTTAACTAAGTTTCTCATATACTGCGCATAGTCTTCCCTAAAAACTTTGGGCCTCAGCAGATTCGTCTTTCTCGGGAGGAAGAACACGCTCATGAAGTCAAGAACCTTTCGGGGATTTGTGTTAAAGAGTTCTACTGTTTTTTTTAGCAGCTGAGAACGCCCTCGACGCAATCCGCCCACATCCAGGCTGTAGAAAAGATTTCCCGTCACATCAGTGGTGTATAACTGGCACATTTTTCCTATTGGAAGAACACGCTCTGACCGATCCCGAAGCTTTTTGTTGAGGTAGTTCTCCAGGTCGACGGCCACACCCAACATCTGGGGATACATTACCTCCCGCAGGCGCCCGCTAGTAAAGAGTTGCGACATGCACTGCCGACTCTCCTTCCAGTGGTGGTACTTCGCCAACGGTAGGGTCAATGCACCCATGGGATCTCCACTGTCTGCCGATTCGTAGCGGTTTAGAAAGCTGTTAAAGTTCTTGATCAGCACCTTGCGGATAAGCTCGGGATCTCGAATCATCAGAGCCGGCGTTTGGAAGACAAAGAAGCCCACAACTTTCGCTTGGCCACCTCGAGGATCTGCGTAGAGCCGCCGAAAAAGATCGCCAAAGGAAATACGGAGGAATAAAAGCTGTCCGAGATTGCCCATCGGGGACCACGAGGAGGCGGGGAGGTAGGGGACTCCACGGCTCTTAAAGTAGTCGTACTTCTGTCTCAACCAGTGATTAAGAGCCAGAAAGGTTAACATCAACAGACAGATGAGCAACATGGTGTCTAAGAAAAATATATAATATCAAGGAAAAAGTAAGCTATTCTTATAGGAAGAAAAATAATTCAATTTCAGAATTGCCCATCATAAAAATAAGATCCCACGGAATCCTTAGACTTTGTTTAGTTTTGTTTCCTTTTCAAAATCTAAATTTATTAGGATCTTTATTTAAACTTCAGATTGCCGTTGTTGTCTTTCTTTCTCGTTCATCTAAAAAAACCCATACGTTAAAAAAAGCGTCATAATTTAAAAGTCCCTATTTATAAATCAAATGGCCTCGCTCACGGACAAAAAAAAACATTTACATATGTATGAATATAACCAAAACCACTTTACATCACAAAAAACCTTTCCATTCACAAATAAAATTCATTCACGGAACTCAGGATCATCTTGATGATCCCAACATAGAGTATCCGCTTACCCAAAGCTTTAACCCAGTGGAGATGGCTCATTTTGCGCCAGTAGCAAGTTCGGTTTAGAAGCGCAATCATGGCACTGGGACTGCTGATCCTCCTGTTAACCCTCCTGGTCATCCTCTATTTGGCCCTGCAGAAGCATTACTCCTATTGGCGGCGAATGGGAGTACGTGAGATAAAGCCCAAATGGATTGTGGGCAACCTAATGGGACTACTCAGCATGCAAAATAGTCCCGCGGAGTTTATATCCCAGCTATATAACGATCCCGAGGCGGAGAACGAACCCTTCGTGGGCATTCATGTGTTCCATAAACCGGCATTGCTTTTGAGAGACCCCGACATGGTCAGGAATATACTTGTCAAAGATTTCGGGAGATTCTCCAATCGGTACTCGAGCTCTGATCATAAGGGTGATCCTTTGGGATCCCAGAACATATTCTTCCTGAAGAACCCTGGCTGGAAGGAGGTGCGTCTTAAGCTTTCGCCGTTTTTCACCGGTAATCGACTTAAGCAGATGTTTCCACTGATCGAGGAGGTGGGTGCCGGCTTGGATGCCCATCTTCGCCAGCAGCCGCTGCACAACGAACGGATGCGCTGCTTTGATTTGGAGGCCAAGGAGCTGTGTGCCCTCTTCACCACGGATGTGATATCAACAGTGGCCTTCGGAGTGAAGGCAAACAGTTTTACCGATCCTAATGGAGAGTTTCGGCGGCATGGTCGATCCGTATTCGAGTTCAACCTTCTGCGGGCGACGGAGTTCGTCCTGGTTTTCTTTCTACCCCGCCTGGTTCCAGTCTTCGGATTCAAGGTCGTTCCAGCGGAAGCCACGCGTTTTCTGCGCCAGACCATCAACTATGTGATGGCGGAGAGGGAGAAGACCGGACAAAAGCGCAACGATCTGATTGACATCCTTATCGAGTTTCGAAGGAGCACTCAGGAGGCCAAGGCTTCAGGGATACAGGATCAGTTTGTGTTCGAAGGCGACTTGCTGGTTGCCCAGGCGGTGTTATTCTTCACCGCCGGCTTCGAGTCCTCCTCCAGCACGATGGCGTTTGCCATGTATGAGCTGGCCAAGGATGCGGATGTGCAGCAGCGATTAAGGGAGGAGATCAAGGATGCCCTTGTTGAGAGTGGGGGTCAGGTGACGCTCAAGATGATCGAGTCTCTGGAGTTCCTGCAGATGATCCTACAAGAGGTACTGCGCATGTACCCACCGTTACCGTTTTTGGACCGCGAATGCACCTCTGGGAGGGATTACTCGCTAGCTCCCTTCCACAACTTCGTGGTGCCCAAGGGAATGCCGGTGTACATACCCTGCTATGCCCTGCACATGGATCCCCAGGTGATTTGGAGGAGGTATTCTACAAAGTTCGCTAACTAATCCAACGTTTTCCTATATAACCAGTACTTCCCACAACCTCGAAAGTTCCTGCCAGAAAGGTTCTCCCCAGAAAATCGGAAACTTCACACGCCCTACACCTACATGCCCTTTGGCCTTGGTCCGCATGGATGCATCGGAGAACGGTTTGGATTTCTCCAGGCAAAAGTGGGTCTGGTTTATCTGCTGCGTAACCACTTGATAACCACAACCGAACGCACTCCACATCGCATGCAACTGGATCCAAAGGCCATTATTACCCAGGCAAAGGGAGGTATCCATCTGCGATTGGTCCGGGATTCCTTGGGGGTCTAACTCACCTGGATATTTTTTGGACAATTTTTCGGGAGCAATGCAGCCTACAACAACTGAACGATAACTAAGCCGTAGATTCGCGTGTTTTGGCATTAAGAATTGAGCTGGTGTCGCATCTTAAAGGCAATTTGATTGACAAATTGCGTGTTTTCCACCGGAGCAATGCGATGCAATGCCTAAGGGTTAGGAAATCAATCACACATACATATACATTTATATATATCATATTGGATATACCAATATAGGCCCTACTTATTCCCTGATCTTAGCTAATTTCATTTTGTTCATATGTAGTTTTGCCGACTTTGACGTTATTGTTACATTTTGAAATGCATTTGCATTCGATTCCTAATCAAGTAGTTACAATTTATTTATTGGTGGCGCATTTTTATAGCTGTCAAGTTTACAGATTAAAGTTAATTCTATAATGATTTTGTTTTTATTCAGAAGACCAGGCGCCGCATCTGACACGTATTATTATTGTATAAATGAAAACGACAGCTGTCAGAAGGCGATTACCGTCAGCCAATCATTTATATTTCTATATACTATACTTCTCTAACTCAATTAATAGCCCGTGCAGCGCTCTCCTCGTAGAGACGATCGTTAACGATCTCCAGGTGGATGCCACCTTCGGCCTGAAGCACAAAACCCTTGGGATCGAACCTCATCTCCTTCATGGTAGCCTCGCATTCCCTAACCAAGTGGTTCTTCAGCAGGCTGACGAGGCCCAGTTTGCTTTGGAGAAGGCCAATCCTGCTGCCGATGCAGTTGTGGGGTCCGGATCCGAAGGGCTGATATGCCATGGCCACGATGGACTTGCGGTTCTCGGGAGAGAAGCGCTCCGGATCAAACTGGCTGGGGTTTGTCCAGTACTGAGGTTTGGGGCGATAGTTAAAAGAGGTCTTATACGTTTGATGATATCAAAAGCTTACCTTTGGATCATGTTGCAGAGCATAGACTGGGATAAACACAGGGGTTCCGTTCTCAAGGGAATAGTCGTAGAAAGGCTTCAGGCTCAGATCCGGCTGCCCCTTAACACTCTCGTACTCGCGATCCAGGAACGGCAGTACCGGATACATGCGCAGCACCTCATCCACCACCATTGCCAAGTACTCCAGGGACTGGATCTTCTCGTAGGACAATGAACCGCCGCCCTCCACCAAAGCTTCGTTGATCTCTTGCCGCAAACGCTGCTGCATCTCCGGATGTTTGGCCAACTCATACAGAGCAAAGGACATGGTCGAGGAGGAGGTCTCGAATCCCGCAGTGAAGAATACACCCGCTTGAGCCACGAGGAAGTCTTGGTTCTTGGCATAGTGCGGTTTTGAAGGCTCCGCCGCCGCCTCCTTGCGCAACCCCACCAAAACATCAATCAAATCATTCCGGAGCAAGCCCGTTCGCTCCCTTTCCTGCATTACATGGCCAATGGTGCCCCGCATGAACTGAGCAAAGTCCGGAGTGAAGAACTGGATGCGCATCAGCGACACCAGCTTGGGCAGGAAGAAGGCCACGAAAAAGTCCTTGGCACGGGATACGGTGAAGGTAAACAACTTGCGTCCGTAGTTGCGGAACTCGGCATTGGGGTTCTTCAGGCTATTCGCACGGATTCCAAAAGCAATGGTGGCAATGCTGTCCGTGGAGAACTGGGCGCTGATCTCCTTGATCTCGGTGATATATTTCCCAGAGCTCTTCTCTCCATTTCTCTTCAGAGCTTCCTCCAAATCTTTGCCAATCTGTATAGAAAATTGTATTTTATTTTTAATTATAAAGTTAAAAAGAATTATTACCTCTTGCATCAGGGTATACATCTGCTTAACCTTTCCGCTGGTAAAAACTGGAGTGAGCTTGGTGCGAATGTCCTTCCAATGGGCATCCCTCACGAAGAACAGATTATTGTAGCCCAGGGGATCGCGATGGGGATCACAACGAGCGTAACGGTTGTGGAACCGATTAAAGTCCTTAATCAGAACGGATTTGATCAGCTCAATGTCGCGAATAATCAAGCCTGGCTTGTTAAGGGAATATATCCCCACTACAGCCTCGTCCTTGACCCGCGGATCATTGTAAATCTCCGAGAGATGCATGCCAAAGGAATTTTCCAGCTTGAAGACCACCTTCGTGTTTCCTATTATCGGTGTGGGTGGAATATATGGTATTCCCTTGCGCTGCCAATAGCTGTGGTTTCGCTGGAACCACATGTACACCGCCACCAGGACAGCGACCACCAGGAAAAGGACTTCCGTCAGCGCCATATTACAGCTAACGACGCAATGAGATCTATCCTGTAATCAGACTCTTGATTTGTTATTCTTATTGTCTGGGTCAGACCACCGAGCGCTATCTTATCTTTATTACAAGCAATAGGTCAAGAGGCTTAAGAGTACTCTGAAGTGTTTTGATTTACTTATTTACCTAGAATTTAAATTAATTAAAAACAGACTCTTCAGGCTTTGTAACAAGACCTTATCAAATCCGTATAGAAAACCTCTCGAGAACTTTATCAGGGGTACTGATAAGGGACCTTAAGATTCGGCTTATAGATGCTAACGAAATTATCAAGAGCTATAGTTTAGCAAAACGCAGTTACCAAAAAACATGTATAAGGAAGTCTCCTAAAAATGGTGTGAATTTAGGCATTAGGCAAATTCATATTTTTAACACACATTTGTTGAGACCAAATTAACCAAATTGTTGTGTTCCTAAATCACCAAAAACTTAGGAATATCTAACGCCACTATTACAAATATATCATGTTTAATAAACTGTAATAATTTTCAAAATATTTAAATTTTCATTTTCTTAGTAATAACGTGTAATCTTTTACGCTAAATACACTCACGGTTTATTTATTGAGTACTAGTATTGACTTTAGCACACCTTGATTGCAACTGGCCGGATTGGCAACTAGTTTTTTAGCAGTTTCAAGGAAACGTTTTCTTGGTGTGTAACTTTTCAGCTCCCGAGCACACAACCGACAATTAAAGCTTTTCGCACAGCACTCGAAGCGATTTCAAAATGTGTTTCCATTTTTATACATCTCAAGTGTTTTCAGATAGCGTTAGGGAGATAGCGAATATAAATTCACCTGTGAGGTGAAAAACAAGCTTTCAGTTACAAAAAACAAACAAATCGTGTGAAACGATAACCTAAAGCAAAGCAAACCGGGTTAGATTTAATTATAAGTAATTACATTCATCATTTAATGGTAGCAAATTAAAAGATGGCAATGCTATTCCACAAAATTTGGTATACAAATGAAATTAAGATTGGCTGATTGATTTGATTGAAAAAGGAAATATATTTTTAAAGTAGATTTTAATTTTTAAGATTTACATAAGTGTTTTGCTTATGTTTTACACCTGCATATTTTGCGTATACAGTATCAAAAGTATTGCATGCTTATCATAAATTAATGACTTCGCAGAACCGGCTTTCCCTGTCAAACTTTTGAGGCACCATTCAATGTCAATAGCGTTACGTCAGTGGCTTAATGGAAACGATTGCGAAATGCCTGGGCGATATGACGGGATCAAACAAATCTATTAGATAGCTTCGTTCATAGCCGAGTTCCTTAAGGTAGAGCAGACGATCGAGGAGAATCAAACTCTCCAATACCGGAGCAAATGACATGCGTAGCAGGTAGAACAGGTCCAAATAGTGTTTATCCAAGGCATACTCCTGAAGAAGGGATTGCAGTTCATCTTCCTCTATCGCTGCCAACCAAGGGGTATCCAATTTTGTGGCACATTTTTTAATGTACTCCTGGAAGCTCTCAAATTTCCGCACCTTGCCAACTTGCAATTCGTTCTTCAATTGCGGAGCATGGCGGCAAACAAGGATCTCCAGAAGAGCTCGATAGTAAAGTGTTACATTTGGCAGCTCCTTGGCATCCAAGGTGCGTTCTATTGACTGGGCCGCCAGCATCCGAGCATTGCGACCCATTCGCACTTGTTGCTCTTGAAGATACTGACTCAGTGGGAATCCGTAGTCCGTTTGCATATCCATCAGAGCCTTATTTCCAAAGAATTCCTGCCGCGAGTAGCGTTCCCTCAGCAAATGATAGCAGCAGCCAATGTTACATAGCAACCGGCAGTCCTTTTGAGCATGGAAAACCTGCAGGCAGGTGGCGGCTAGATTCCCGCAGGTGTGCAATCCGGTCAGGCAAATGTTGGGGCTATCTTCTTCAGTTAACTGATGGAAATGTTCCGCCAGCAAGGCGCCAAAGTCAAGTTCGGTGGTTATAAATCTGGACGTTGTTTTGTAGTTTTCCAAGGCGGGAGCACTCTTTGTGGAGTCCCTGGTGGGTGACTTTTTACCCCGCCTCTTGGGGGTGATTCCTTGACTCTGCAGCTCCGCTCGTTCCGTGAGGCCATTCCAAGCGCGCTGAAATTGAAGAAAATTTTGAATTTAAATAAGGCGGTCTAAAATCGTTTACTAACACTGCTCTGTTAGGGTTGTTCTTCGTCTCGTCTTGGGTATTTATTAACAGTCTAGCTGAGGTCATACTACGCGAAAAACCGGCGCTTTTCGGCACGCTTGTTTTATTTTTCCCTAAAAACGCCACAAAAATCAAACAAACACCATGTCGGCTGGTATGCCCATCAACCCCAAGCCCTTCCTGAACGGCCTGACGGGAAAACCGGTGCTGGTGAAGCTCAAGTGGGGCCAGGAATACAAGGGCTTCCTGGTCTCCGTCGACGGCTACATGAACATGCAGCTGGCCAACACGGAGGAGGTGATCGAGGGCTCCGTCACCGGCAATCTTGGCGAAGTGCTCATCCGCTGCAACAACGTGTTGTACATTAAAGGCATGGAAGACGACGACGAGGAGGGCGAGATGCGAGACTAGCCGATGGACCACATACCTACTTACTTATAAGCCTACAAAAGTAATGAAATAAAGCTAATTTTATTTTGTAATCCTAGCGTACCTGCAGTTTGCGATTGCGGCTGAGGGCGTTCTGTGTGTTCTCCGCATTGGCATCGATGCCGAGCACACGGTGGCCATACTGAAGCGCCAGGCGGGAGGAGAGGTAGCCCTTGCCATCGCCCGCATCCACAATGTAGCTACCTTGGCTGGAACTCTTCACGAGATGGTCCACTAGAGCGGCTGTTAGCTCCACCTAATAGGGACGTATATTGAAATCCTGATGATTCCCCATCCAAACTGAGAGTCAACCTACCTCGTGGCACTTCTTGGCGCTCATAAACTCCCGGATGCTTAGCTGTGCGGCATTCTCCTGTACCTCGAGCAGTTCCTCCACGCTGGTTAGCAATTCCGGATGAAGAGCGAGGCGTTCCAGCTTACCCTTTTCCAGGAATCTCCTCCATTCTGGGAATCTTCCTACTGCTTCATCATTTTTCCAAAATAATTCTTCTATGGCCAGATCCACATCCTCCTTGCCAGAGATCTCCCTTCTCAAGCCTTCGGGAAGAAAGACCGACCAGTGTTGGTCCGTCAAGTAGTTCACCATGTGGCAATTAACAAAATCCCAGTGAGGATTGAGGAATGCCAGCAAGCCGTCGAGGCGCTTCTGTAGCTGGGTGACTCCCACTTTTGACATGATGCTAGAAACTGTAGTCCTTGTGCTCTACAGAAAGTGGTTCTGAGGTTGCTGCTCCAGGGGTTTTCTTGGATCCCAACAAAGCGCGAAGACGGCGATGGGAGGACCGGATGTCCTGCACAGCTCCCACTATATCCGCCTGCGGATCGTTGGTGCGGGGAAACTCTTCGATGAGCGAGCGCAGCTGTTCCAGACTTCGACGCACCTTGTCCGTGTGCTTCAGTTGTTGCTGGGCCACCACCTGACCCAGGATCTTGCCCAGCTCCTCGCCTAGGGATACTCCCTGGGCGTAGCCCAATTTGTAGCCCTCCTCGTTACCCTGCTCCTGGCCGTCCTTCAGTCCCTCCTCGTATCCCAATCGGGCTTCCTTTTCCTCGGTCAGGACAATGTCGTCAAATAGATCGTTAATATCCCGCGACGGACTTGTCATTATTCGTTGCTTTCCTTGAATACCTTGTAGATCCTCGCCTCCAGTTTAGATCGTTCCCAATTTTTAAGCTCGATTATAAATTGGAATATTTAAGTAATTATTTAAACTAATTTAGTTGTTATTTCAACTTTTGTCGAAATGTGGTTCTACTGTGGACATTTTACAGCACTGAAAATAAGCAAACACAACAGTGCTGTTATTAACATTTAACAGGGGTATTCCTTTGTTATCATTAATAGAAATTCAAATAATTTTAGTTGTTACTTTTATTCAACTGGTTTACTTTTATCTATATAATTTGGCATGCTCGCTTGGGCAGAGAATTTGGAATTCGTTCTAGAGATTGGTATAATTTAAGCTAGAGAAGCTAGTGCTTAAAGCCAGCCAAGGCACTTTAACCGGTGCTAAAGCTACATAAACAAGGAGAATTCCGATTTTCCCTGCGTCCACTAGTTCCATCCGTCTTCATCGTCCTCCGAGCGCGCATCGTCACTGGACTGAGATCCCTTGCGGGGCTGCACCGGTGGTGGAATCACCCGGGAGAGCTGCTGCATCAGGGGATTTCCAGCGGTTGCCTCTCCGGGATTCTGGCTACCAGAGATTCCCTTCCGCCGAAGCATCAGCTTATTGTGCAGGTCCGCCATCAGATCCCCCGTGGCAGCGGATCCCGCCTTGGAGCGTGTGTTGTCCACCACATCGAGCGGAGCGGCCGCCTGCGACCGAAGACGTCCGCCGTGGACTCCTCCCGCGTTCCGTATGGCGGCCATTAGCTCTGATCGTGGATCTTCAGTGGGTGGAGGCGGTGGTGGCATTTTAAGAGGTGTGGATGGTGAGGGAGACAGTGGTTTCACAGCTCCCTTGGTGGGAAAGGGTGGCGGTGATGGAATCCTCTTCGACTGCTCTGGCGGAGGTGGTGGCGGCGGTGGTGGTGGTGGAGGAGGCGGTGCCGTTGTGACTGGCGATGGACACTGTCCCAGACCCATCTTCCTCGCCGGTCCTGGAATGTGCGTCTGTGCTGCGATGGCTTGAACCGTGATCTCCTGCTCTTCCAGACCCAAATCTGGTAGCTCTGGCAGGTCATTAAACTGCTGGGAAGGGGCAATGGGTGTCTGCTCCTCCACAGGCTCATACTGCAAATCATTGGCTATACCAGGAAGATCGGGTAGATCCATCGGCACATCGATGGCGGGAGCAGCCAGGGCAGCAGGATTGTAGCGCAGATCCCCGGCTGGCGTGGCTAGTTTCGTTGTACCATGAGCCAAAGAGTGGGGAGCCGGAGCCAGCAGCTTCTCCGTTGTGGGCCGAGAGGACTGACTGGCAACACGGCGGGCACTTTGCGGCGGTAAAGAGCGTTTCCAGGCATTCAGATCCTCGCCGTAGGCGAACTCATTGGTGTTAAAGCGCATCAGCGAAGGCACGGAACGAATTCCGGCCAAGGGAAGGGCTCCCAGGCCCGCAGTGCGATTGGTTATCTTCCGTTCGACGACCAGCGGCGACTCGTGCTCCCGTTCGCCACGCACATGGAAGAAGATGTCCGCATCCTCCTGCTTCTGGTCCGTGTTGCTGTGGCTGCAGTATTGGCGCTGCGACTGTTGCTCATCCTGCTCCTCCATCAGCGGATTTGACACCACCTGTGGAAAGGTGGCTGGGAGCGGAGCCAGGACGTCGCTGGCCGGAAAGCGAGCGGGTGCAAAGATCTGGATGGCCCGCTTGGAGCCAACGAGCGCATCGATTTTTGCCTGGGCGCGCTTCACACGATTGTTTATGTCCTCAACCTTTGAACCATTTCTCGCCAAGCGGGCATCGATTCGCTCGAAAATCGAGTTTATGGTTTTGTGTAGACAGTCCAGGGACTGGGCTGCTTGGATTATGGTGTCCTCGTGGTGCAGGTCGGTGGCTATGATGGACACCTGGTAGGGGCTGTGCAGGTAAGGTGATTCCTCCATTTTTTATTGGCAAAAATATCACATATTTATTGCAATTTTTTATGGTTTTCTTGGTGGTGTGACCGTTGCTGAGAGCTAAAAAAATATCAAAACAAATTAAAAATTGTAAATTTTGTTTTATTTTTGAGTTATTAAGTTATTTAAAAATTAATGCAAGAAACCGCTAAGTAAAGTTAAATCAGTTGTTGTACAAAATAATACAAAAATTAAACAAATAAATTTCCCCTTTTCTTTGATATCCATTTTATGTATGTTTTGACTCTTCTATCTGGTAACACTAAAACTACAAAAATCAACACGGCAGCAAACGAAATCAGTTAATTTAGGTGAACATTTTCAGTTGAATACTCTTTAATTAACAATGGACAAGGTCGTAAAGTTCGCCGAGCCTGGACGCGCCTTCGCCAAGGACTCTATACGCCTGGTGAAGCGCTGCACCAAGCCCGACCGGAAGGAGTTCCAAAAAATCGCCATTGCCACCGCCGTAGGCTTCTGCATCATGGGCTTTATCGGTTTCTTCGTAAAACTAATACACATCCCTATTAACAACATCATCGTGGGATCCTAAAATGCAACAGGTGCCCAACGGACCAGGAAGAACAGTACGATAATAATACAATGTAACTTACTTTGAAATAAAAATAAATGTCGGATTCTGTATGCATGTAACGTATTCGAGTTTTTGTCTTGGCATGAACTATTTGAAGATAAGGAATTGGGCGTAAATCTAATCAAGAGTTTCCGGTAGTAACCTGTCCGTGGGTAATGGGTCTCAAACCAGTTTACAAAGTACTGTTCATAGCACGTTTGTATTATTATTACTCTTAGAGATACATATGTATATAACAGTTTAATAAGAAGTATAGAAACATATGTATATGATTGATCTGGATTACTAACCATGACTTTGATTAAAATCAAATTACTTACCTTAAGTATAGATATGTAATTTTATAAGAAAAACGTAGGAGGGGTATTCCCTCAACAGCTGTCGAAGCCATTTATTTCTATACAAAGTCATGAAGTTATATTTTTATTGGCTTAGAAATCGTTTTATATAGTAACTAACAATGAAAAATACATTATAAATGTTTTCACCCGACATAAAATAGGCAACTAGTCACAGGTGCTTACAAATTCAGCAGGAACAGTTGCTAAAATTTTCTGTTGAATTTTTAACAGTTAAGCAAACTAACAACTAAGGGAATACCCAGAATAATTCAACAAGTGGGAGTACGAAAAAATCATTAAAATTAAAATCGAATGTTGTTTCAAAAAACATCAAACTTATCGAATATGACGACTATCGATGTCATTCTACCCCTAACTTTTACTACGGTCACACTTAGTAAAGTAACTCATCAAAAATACATCGCAGTTGTTACGTGAGAGTTTTCAAACGCTAATTTTTATATTTTAACAGTGCTTTTATGAAATTTTTTCTTCGCAAAAGTGTCTGGCAGTGATTGTACAAATGTATTAGCATAAAAAGGTATGTTTTTGAATGTTCCTTCGGTGGAAAAAGTACTATCAAATCGAACTGAAAATTCGCGTGTGCATGTGTTGGTATCATAAACGTGGCTTAGTCTGGGGCTAAATGCTGTTAAATAGACCAAAAAACTAGCCAGTGCAATCAAAAACATAAATTTATTGCATTCGTGGATAAAACAAAGTGAGAAATGCTTAAACATGCACTTTTTTGGTTATTTTATTTGGCAGGCCACACATGCGAAAAATATGCCTCATGGTCGCCATATTGAATTTTCGTTGCCATCGTGTGCGTGTGTATGTATATATCAAAGTGGCTTGTTGTTAGTGGACGCGCGTGATTGTTTACTTCTGCTGTGAGCTATAGCCAGATATCGGGTATTACCCCCAGCCTTGTAATGTTAGCCTTAACCCTCTAAAGAGCGTTTGAATAATGTATGTACATAAAAATAACCTACATTTGGAACAATGGCGTTAAGATTAACCTTACAGCCATACTATTTAAATAACAATCTCAAAGATAATGTTTTATGCCTTTAAATATTTTCTAGGGGTTAAACTCTTAACCTTCTCAAAGTGTGTATCTATTAAATTTCACAAGTAATCACAAATATATTCTTTAAATGCAATGCCCTTGGCAGTAAAGGGTTAATTTGAACTGTATACCTTTCAAATGCTGTACACCTTTCTCTTAAAACAAAACAAAACGGGGGGTCTCATTGAAATATCTTCGTACGTAAGCATCAATACAAGTTTCTCCCGAATTTCGCTCAAAGAAATATCTGTGACTGTAATTCGAGCAAGAGGCTTTAACAAAACTATATTACACCCATGACTTGCTTAAAACAAGGAAATTATCCATCCAACTCTTGAAATAAAAGATACTTTGAAAACTCACCTTAGTTACCTTTGCGTGTCAAGTCATTTAACTACCTCTCCTTATTTTCCCTTGCAGCCGAAACCTAGCAACTGCGACTACTTCAAACCAAACAACTTGATCAACAGCAGGATCAAGATCTGGGATACGAAGTTCACAATGGATCAGCTATTTCAGAGCTACCGCGACGATGAGCGGAGGATCGGCGAGGAGTACCTGTCCAGCCTGCAGGACCTCAACTGCAACAGCAAGCCGCTCATCAATATGCTCACCATGCTCGCCGAGGAGAACATCAACTACGCCCACATCATTGTCAAAGTGGTGGAATATTACATCAGCCAGGTTAACAAAACAAAAGCGTATTTACTTAACAACCAAGACACTCCAGCTTACACACAGCGAACAAAAGGTCGACACAAAAAGTGATTCTCCATGTCGAAATTGTGATAGAATGTGTAGTTTATTTTTTATACGGCTGCCGTTTATTTGCAGGGAAAACCAACGAAGGCCCTATCCCATAGTTTCAATGCTTTTCTCACATCTTCATTGGTTTTTTCTGCAAACACACGGGCACGAATGCTAGATAGGTTCTTAATAATCTTAATATTTATCACATAACTTGGGTTTTAAGACGTGACTGATTTCGATCCTCTACAAAGGTAAGAAGTTTAACCTGCTCCTCGTTTCTTATTTCTTTCTACTTTGGATCCCAGAGTTTAAAGCTAAGGAATAACAAACCAACTAAAAAGAAAACTGAAAAACGAAATAAAAAGAGAAAATACTTAAACAATTGTCACAAAGTTGTCTTTTATTTTATACAAAAACATTGACTGCTTACAATCAATCAGAAAATTGATGTGCAGCAATTTTTGTATTACCAAAAGAGAAAAGCACGTTTTGGTAAAAGTAAAACCTGCAGCTAAACCGAAATTAAAAGCCATAAGTCTTATAAGTAGTAAACCCTCTTATTTTTTTTTGCCGCATATTCATTTACATTTCACTCGGAAAAGGGAACAAACCTGCTAACATCTACGCAAACACATTTAACTTTTAATGTTTGGAGACCATAAGATAAACGTAGTTTCCCTTGTTAGCACCCATTCTTTGGGAAAATATTCCTCTTTGCTAGACATTTGCTTAGTTTTGGTCGCCCTGCCGTGGAGATATAAGAAAACCCAGCAGCCGCTGGAGGAGGATGACATCGATGGATGATCGCTGACCCTGCTGTTGTGTTGTCTGCCTGCCTGTCTATTCAGTTCAGCTCAGCATCCTTAGTTCTCTGCCCCTCTGTCTGAATCTTTGCTAGCGACGTTCCGTAGACACTTATTGTTCTTTATTTCTTACCTATTTTACAAAACTTTAAACAGGTGGCGCCCGAATTTAAATTGCCCATACTATATTTAATTGATTCGATAGTAAAGAATGTGAAAAGCAGCTACGTCCAATTGTTTGGGCAATGCATAGTCAACATATTCCTGCACGCCTTTGAGTCGGTAAGTGGCTATAATCACACCAAATAACTTCTTCGTGGCTAATTATTGTTTCATTTCGTTCACGCAGGTTCAGCACTCACAGTCGCAGCTCTTGGAAAAAGTGCGGGAGCGCATGTATGCCCTGCGACAGACCTGGAACGAGGTCTTCCCGCCCTCCAAGATGTACGCCCTGGATGTGAAGGTGAAGCAACTGGATAACAACTGGCCTATCACAGCCAAACAGCCAGCTAAAAAAATCCACGTCAATCCGGCCATTCATGTGAACCCGGACTTTCTAAAAACGGTAAGTGAAATCAGAAACATTACAAACCCATCGATGGATTAACATATCCTTCGAATAGGGTATGGTTCCTGTGATGCCGGTCAACCCCACACTGCCCAGCGACATGGAGGAGATACTGCAGGCCAAGACTCGAGAATTGTTGGAGCTCAAGAAGCGAAAACTAGAACTTGAGCTGGAGCAAACCAAAAAGCATTTAGAGGAGCAGGAACGTCAGCTAAACCAGGCCACTGACGCGATGACTGGGGCTCCCATGAGCATGCCTGCCCCGCCAGCAGCTGCTATTCGTCCGCCTATCATGGATCCCGGCCAGGCAATGCGTAATCAACGAGCTCCTGGAGCAATACCCAATATGCCAGTGGCTCCGCAGGTAAATTAGAAAGTGAGATGTGAAAGTTTTCGAAGGTCTAATGCTTTAATTAACTTTCAGTTTGCCAACAAGCCAAAGGTAAATCCTGTCAATCCGGCGCTGTTGAACTCGGTACGCCAGCGAGATCCACGACTAGCGCGCCAAATGCAGTCGCAGTCCTCACATCCCGCAGCGCCTGCACGCAACGATCCCCGCCTGGAGGCCAAGTCCAGCTCCTCACAGAAATCTAGTCGGTCGCGCAGCAAATCGCCTGTGCGCAACAGCAGCAGTCGCTCGGGAAAGAGTGGAAATTCCCATCACAGCAGCTCGTCTAGCCGTAAGCGAAGCGAGTCCAAGAGCTCCACAGCCTCCTCGTCCTCTTCGGGTTCGGAGGTGCGACACAAGGGCGGGAACAGCAGCAGCAGCTCCACCAACCAGTCACCGGTGAAGCGATCCGGCAAGCACTCATCTAAGGAGCAGTCAGAACGCTATATCCGGAACGGCTCGCCAGCGGGATCATCAAAGCGCAAGAGCAGCTCTCCGAGTAGCTCGCCCTCTAAGTCAAAGCGCAGCGCTTCCCACAAATCGTCCTCATCTACGTTGCGCGGAAAAATATCTTCAGGGCGATCACGCAGTCGATCTCCAGTCTTCATGGACGTTGATCTCCGCAGCAAGTCACCAGAATCCAAGGCAGCGGCTCCCTCGTCTCTACCTCAGGTGGCCGCCTCTTCAGCAGCAGCATCTAAAGCAGCAAATGATTTAGAGAAACGTAAGAAACAACTTTTAATCCTAATCTCACACTTGTTAGCGAAAAACCAAGTCGTCTTCGGCTTGGAACCTAGACCTACAGACAGCTTAGTTGAAAATTCAGAAATGATCAGCCACAATGGCGGCACTCGATGGCTTAGGCAGGTGGGAGGGCGGCTTTTTGGGACCGTGTGTGGTTGACAAGTGGAAAACTTCTGCGCTGCTATTACCAAAGGCTGTGATAAGTAAAACTGTGATACTAAAATGACAACAATATATATTGCTTATATGTTCTACAATACTCGTTTGCATAAATGAAGTTCCTGCTGGACAGCAATCCGAGATGTTTTTTCAAATCTTCTGCTCCTTTCAGTCTCTTACTGATAAACATTATTTACATAAATTGTCTATAAAACGATTCCGCTAAATGCTGGAATTTTGCGCATCCTTCGTTGTTTTCGGGACCACATTTTTGGGAAGGGGAATTTGTTTCGTTTTAAGGCAACTAACCGTCAACCATTAATTAAATATTTATTCCATATTTTTTTATAAATACTTAAGAGTGCTTTAAAGAATTCATAAAAGTTTTGAAAATTCTAAATCAAAGTGTTAATAAAATGTGTTTAAAAACCTTTTGCATTCCAAGTTGTTTTAATTAATGCAAAATATAGCCAGGTGCCGCCTTTGGTGTGATTTAAAGTTGATTTTCGATTTGTGAATGTCAAACCAACCACTAAATTGAAAGCGAATCAAAACTAAACCATAATGATTAAACTGTGAAGTATTCCTTGTACCTTAAACCGACTATTGATATACATTGATTAGATGAAAAGAAACTAAAATAAAATAAAGACTGCAGTTTTAATTTTGTCTTGTTAACAACCGTGTGTAAACCCAAAGTGAACAAACATTTTTAAACTTAAATCCAAATCTTTGGAAACTCTAGAACCAGATTAAGTTTAGTTTTATTTTAAGCGTACGTTGTAGTTGGCTTCCATGTAAATACGAGCCAGCTAGCTGTATCCGTAAATGTATCTATATTATTTTGTATTTGTAGAACGGCACTTTTACCCCATTATTCTCCTTTGATATATAATATAACAATTTTATTTGATTTTTTATAGTCTAACCTTGATTTCGCATTGGCTTCCAAACGGAGCCCGTGGATTTCTTAAATTATGATTTATGCATTAGTTCTCATATATATTTCTCTAGCCCGATTGTTGTGCCTGGTGTTTGTTGGCCTTGTTCCCCTTATGATTTTGACACCTAGTTCCCCCGATTTGGTTTACTAAGCACTTTCTGCCTTATTTTTTCCCACATTTCGTTGTTCTTTTGCTTTTATCTGATTAATGATAACCAAATCCTCTGCCGTAAGAAAAAAAAAACAATGTGTGCCCACAAGCAAAATCAATTTTCTAGCTACATTTCAAATACTCGAACCAGGCCCTCCTCCAGCTCCTCCAAGTCCGCCGATTATAGATGTATCGAGTATGGATATTGACTTGAGGCGGCCAAAGACGCCGCCTCCCCCAACATTCGACTCATCGGAAGGCCACGACCCGAAGGAATCAAATAGCGGCAACATCAGCAGCACAATAATACTAGCTAGTGGCGCCTCCAACGCCTCCCCGCCAACCGCGTCCACTTCCAAATTGCCCGCAAAAGTGTCGTTCAAAATACAAAAACAGTTTAATAAGTTAGAAAAATCTACAGCGAATCTATCAACAGCATCACTGCTAAACCCCAATTCCACGACTTCAGCAGCCACAGCAGCAGCATCATCATCTCTAGTCAGGCATCCGTCGCCCAGTCCCTCGTCCTCGTCCCTCTCCTCGCAGGGTAATGTATCGGACGCCCTGCAGCAGTCCATCAACAAGTTGCTCCAGGTTCAAGGTGGCTCTGGAACCGCCGAGAAACGTCCCGCAGACGACCTGCCGCCAGAAATAGGCGACGAGGAGCAACCGCCGCAGCAGAAGCGCAGCAAGTCAACCAAACTGGACGCGTAAGTGATTTTCTAGAGTCCTTAAGGGATAGATTTTTCATATCGATGGCTTCTTCAGTCTCTTTGGCAGTGAAGATGTGGACCTACGTCGTGAGATTCCAACTGTTAAGCCAGGAGTAATCGTTGTGGAAGACGACTCTATGGATAACTGCGATGTCAGCAAGGTATGATTGATTTATAAGTGATTTTTTGACTTTGTTATAATTTTACTTTGACCCTCAGCCCACGAAGAAATCTGGCTCGCCTCCAAAGAAGGCAACGTTAGAAGAACTCCGTGCCAAGTTGGCGAATTCAGCTAGACTCCAGAATAAGCAAGGAAAGTCTGGTAAGTAATAATAAAGGATAGTGTCAAATAAAATAGTTTGAACCATTAAACCCAAACAAAAATGATTTGATTGGTTTTGGAAAAGTCTGTAATCTGTTTGTTCTTTTCATTTTGTTAATAAAATTCGTCAGCATATAGTTAATTGTATTATTTTCTTTCATTCCCTTTAGACAAGGGAAAGGATCAGGCAGTCTCTCAGCGCCTTAAGCAGCTGACCGAGTTGAAAGCCAACGATGATTCCCAGGAGGCGCACGACGAAAAGATGCGCACGATTCTCAGCCAGGCTCAGGAGATGTTCGAGAATCACAGCATGAACCAGGAACAGTACAAGGATCTGGTGCAAAAAGTGGTGGCCATCAATGAGAACAGCAAGTTGAAGGATGCTCGACGCCGAGACGATGATCTAGAGCGCAATGCAGCCAGGGATGCAGTGCTACGCAAACGCATTCCCAAGCTGAAGGGCAACGAAAATCATTCCTCGGGCTCGCCGCGTAGCGATGGATCACCGCGATACGAGGATCAACCAGCGCCTGCCCCAGAGAAACCCCCGAACAAAAGGGATAAGACCAAGAGGGACGTTAAGCGTCGCAAGCCCAGCAAATGGGGTGATCAAGTGGATCCGGTTGCTGCACAGCGAAGTGCTTGGCAAATACCTCCCAATGCCAATAATATTAATAACAACAACAATAACAACAAACGGATCGGTATCCAAATGCCCGTTCAGCCTCAGCCTGGATTCCGTGGCATGCCTTGGCAACAGCCACCGGCCATGGTAATGGCCCAGTCTGCAGTTCCACCGCCACCGCAACCACCGTCGATGATAGGTCTACCACCCGTGCCGCCGGTGACCATGACCAAGGCCATTAATTCCCTTGATAATCCCATGGCAGATGTGGTGCGCAGCATCACAATCGACGGAGGATCTAAGGAGATTCGCTTCTACAACCAGGTTGCCATCATCTTCATGGATGGCGATCAACCGCATGAAATTGGTTTCCAGCAGGGTCAGCGCGTTATCCTAATAGACCACAATGAACCACTGCCGCTTTGCTTCAACGATGACTACAAGCCGTTCCAGTTGGATGGTCAGCTTCACCGCATTCGCTTCGGTTTCCCATCCCGCGAACTCTACATCGACGAGCACTGGTATGAGATCTATTTTGGTGGTCCGCCCGTATCCGTGCCCATTGGAAACAAAATGCATGTTATCAAGGCAGAGGGTCCACCGCCAAACGTGGACATTGGCCGAGTGCGACGAGATTTGGTCGTGGGCAAGATCAACATGATTGTGGATGCGCATACTATAGTGCCGCTCTTCCTGGACGCCAGACAGCAGACCTTCCAGCTGGGAGCCGAACAGCATTCGCTGCAGTTTGTGGACAGTTTCCAATACGCCTTGCTCGATGGGCAGCTGCAGAAGATCGAATACGGTGGTCTTCCGAAGGGAATGACTTTAAATGGCGGTCGCAACTGCTTCATTCGTTTTGGCACGCTTCCCAAGGGAGTCATTGCGGGCAAGACACATGTGGCAGATATGGTGTATATTAAGACTGAAGCTCCGGCAGAGCCACCCAAGCCGCCGCCAATGATTGTTCGGCCACCGCCCGTGGTGGAGCAACCAAAACCTGCTCCAGCAGCTGCCGCTGCTCCTATTTCCCTGCCAGCAGCCGCCGCTGCGCTGGAGAGCTTGAACATCAATGACTTGTTCCAAAAGCTTGTTTCGTCTGGAATAATTGGTGGTGCTGCTGCTGCGCCATCTAAGCCGGCTGTAGATTCTTCAGCATCCAAGGAACCAACTACCAAAGCTAGCGAGGCCTCACCAGCACCTGCAACAGCTGCTGCTCCTGCTCCAGTTCCTGCTGGTCCGCCCTTGGAGCCCATCAAGCGCATCGATCTCCGCAAGCCAGAGACCATCAAGACTCGCCAAGCGGCGGTGGTAGCCACTCTTTACCTGGGAATGCAGTGCAGCAGCTGTGGAGTTCGGTTCCCGCCAGAGCAAACCATCAAGTACAGCCAGCACTTGGATTGGCACTTCCGCCAGAACAGGAGAGAGAGAGATTCCACCAGGAAGGTCACCTCCCGCCGATGGTACTACGATCTCAACGACTGGCGGCAATACGAGGAAATCGAAGATGTGGAGGAGCGAGAAAAGAACTTCCTGGAGGCTCAAGGACAACCAGGCGGTATTGAGGCCCTCGAAGAGCTCTCCCAGCAACGGTCGCTGGATTCACCCGTGCCAACGTGCGCCGCAGGAACGGATGATGTGGATCACTGCTGCGACATGTGCCATGAGAAGTTTGAGCAGTTCTACAACGAAGAGCTCGAGGAGTGGCATCTGCGTAGCGCTATCCGTGTGGAGGACAAAATCTACCATCCACTGTGCTACGAGGACTACAAGGCCTCGTTGAATCCCCCGGCGGAGGTGAAATCCGACAAGGATGTGGACATGAACAACACCGATGATAATGCCATGGATACACTTATCAAAGTAGAAGACGACGATGATGATGATGATGGTAGGTTTAGCATTAATAAATGCAAATGGTCCAGTAATAAACACATTTTTAGTAGGTGCCACCAAACCACCGCAATCCATTATGGATGATGATGACGATGATGTCATTGTGCTGCCCAATGAGGAGCCCAGTGTCACGGAGATCGTCGACGACGACGACGAGGACGAATACGTCCCCGGCAATGTGACACGGGCGGACATGGGCAACGAGTCCCAGGACAAGCCAGAGTCCAGTTCCGAGACAAAGGAAGCGGAGACAGAGAAGGAGAAGCTTGGTGAACAGCCCCAAAGCGAATCGGCCAATGAGTCGGATGTGGAGATCCAAGAGCCAAACATTCCCTTCACCGATCTGGACACCTATGTGGAGAAGGAAATGGATGAGGCCACTAAGGCGGCGATGCTCAACGTGAAGATCAAGGAGGAACCCAAGGACGAGTATGAGGACGACGAGGACGATGGCTTTGAGGACGTGGGCACGGTGGTCTCCCTGCTGCCGCTGCCCGAGGACGAGATCTCCATCCACAGCAGCGGTAAGTTCTCAAATGACTTCCTCCCCTCAGTAAATGATCAAGTTGCTCAATCGTCTGGCATCCTGGCAGAAACTCAAACGCACACCATCGGCTCGTCGGCTTCGCCGGCCACCATCGAGCGGCCTGCATCGGTGACCTCGCTCTCCTTGCCCGCCAACGACGCGGACGAGGTGGAGCAGCAGGCAGATGCCGCCGCCGATACGGAGGCGGAACTGAACGGAGAGAAGCAGGAGTCCACGCATAACCTGAGCTCAGTGGGTCCGGCGTTACCTTTGGCTAGCATAGTTAATAAAATAAAGATAAATATCACTAAGAATACGAGTAGTAATAGTCATAATAGTGCCTCCAACGCCACGACGACGGACACGCAAGTCTCGGCCATCAGCGTCATCGGTGGATCAGGAGGAGCAGCAGCAGCTGGTGGTGGTGCATCCGGAGGCGGAGAGGCCACGCAGCAGCAGGTGAACGCCATTCAAACCATTTCCACCATTCCAGTGCTATGCGGCGGCAACACGTTCGTGCCCAAGATTGCGACCAGCACGTCCTCCAACGTAATCAGCTCGATCTCGGTGATTGGCAGCAGTTACGGCGGAAGCAGCAGCAGCAGCAACAATGGCAGCCGGAGCACTAGTTCCACCGCTACATCCTCTGCAGCTGCATCGCTTCCGGCGGAGACGGCCAGCCGGAAATCGCCCACCCCGCCGCCCGCTGCCGTGGAGCCGGACCCGGAACCCGTCGTCGAGATGAAGCCGGCGCTACGGAACGCCACGCTGAAGCGGACGAAGAAGGTGCACAACGGCATCGAAACGTCGGGCCTGTGCTCCATCATGTAAATCGTGACTCATTACCAGGCCATGATTATTCCTATTTAATTTTTACTACGATTACTTTTACACGTTACTTAGTTTTAGATAGCCAGCGAGACGTTCTCCGCCGGAGAGCGTCGCCTCGTGATCCTTAGGTACCCGATATTTCCCCCCAAATCCGGCGCATACACACTCGTCTAAAATAATTTATTACCGAAAAAATACAAATAACTGGCAAAATTTAATAAAAAACCACTTACAGAATAAAAACAGAGTATACATAATTTGTGATAACTTTATAACACTAGCAAACTAAAAACATTTATTTGACCATTTTGTCCACATCAAGCCCAACAATGTGTAATATTGCGTATTTTTTATGCCGATTTGAGAAAATAAACAACGAAAAATGAATCCAACAGAAGATATTTAATCCATTCTTTTATGCTTTTTAGTTGTTAGTTGACTTATAATCGAAATATATAACTAATGAATTCTTAATAAAGGAATATATTCAAATTAAAATCAAAGCTTTTTTAATTAAGAGAGGGGTTAAAGTTATGGGTATAAGATAGTTTAGTTATTTTTTATAGAATTAAAATTACTTGAAAAATTGCCGCTCTTTTGAGGGTTGCCCTACCGGTCGAGAGTTTCATGGCATTCAGCTAGCTGACATGCACTCTCAAAACAGCTGACTTGATTAAAATGTACTAAAACTGGCCACGCGCTTGGTTATATGCACGTGGGCACGTTCCTTCGTTTAAATTAAGTTTTTTAACATAAATATTGAATTAAAGCCGCTGGTCAAGCTATTTCCCGAGATGTCGTCTTCCTTTTTCCTCAAGCCAGGCGCCAAGGGCACAAAAAAACGCAAGGTAAGTGAAAAACAACGAGGAAAACGATGCAGCACCTGTAACGCTTTTCAAAGATTCCCGCAGCAACAACAAAAGGAAAGCCAATCAAAAAAGGCGGAAAACCGGGAAAATCCGGCCCAGCAGCCGGTGGAGCACCACTGCCAAAGAAGCAGCGTCGTCCCAAGGAGGACGACGAGGAGATCGCCAGCGAGGATGAGGAGTACAACAGCGATCTGGGCGGCGAGGGCAACACGCTCGCCTTTTCCTCTGACGAAGGCGAGGAGGAGACGCCACAGGACAAGCGCCTCCGTCTGGCCAAGCAGTACCTCTCTGAGATCGAGCGGCAGGAGGCGGATCGTGCCGAGGATCGGGAGCTGGCCCAGAGCGTGGAGCAGCGCCTGCAAACGGAATACCTCGACAGCGTGGGCAAACTGCGCCGGAACATCGCTGGCAGCCTAAAAACCTGCGACTCGAGCCGCATCCTTAAGCACAAGCTCCACCACACGCCCATCTGTTCCCTGGCACTCAGTCCGGATGGCAAATTCCTCTACACCGGTGCCAAATCGCAATTCCTCCTCAAATGGTGCACGGAAACGGGGAAAGTGCTGGACAAATCTGATGTGCTATCGCATCGCGAGGAACCCGAAACGGGCAAAAAGAGGCGCTCCCATGTCATCGCCATCTGCCTGTCCTCGGATATGAAGTACCTGGCCCTGGCCGAGGGTGGTCCCAACATCCAAATCTTGTGTCCACAGACGATGAAGCATGTGAAGACTCTCAAAGGACACCGGGACAGTGTGGCAGGTCTGGTGTTTCGTAAGGGAACACATGATTTATACTCGGCAGCCAAAGATCGGTCGGTGAAAATCTGGTCCCTGGATGAGATGGCCTATGTGGAGAGTTTGTGAGTAATAAACTGAAACATTGATTTAGATGCACCCTTAAAACGTTCTTGCCTTTTAGGTTCGGTCACCAAACGGGAGTGACCAGCATAGACGCCCTCAGTCGAGAGCGGGCCATCACCGCTGGCGGATCAGATTGCTCTTTGCGCATCTGGAAGATCACGGAGGAGTCACAGCTTATCTACAACGGGCACAAAGAGAGCATTGAGTGTGTGAAATATATCAACGATGAGCACTTTGTATCCGGTGGAATGGATGGGTAAATAGGAAGCAATTTAATGAATCCAGGAGTGGAAAAAAACTGTATTTTTGTTTGCAGAGCTATCGGCTTATGGAGTGCCTTGAAGAAGAAGCCTATTTGCACGACACAATTGGCGCACGGAGTGGGAGATAATGGCGTGGCCAACTGGATAACAGCCATTGCTGTTGTGGTCAACACGGATTTAGTGGCAACAGGTAAAGGATCACTCTTATTTCTTATTACGAGTTGTAGTTGATATTAATCCTTAATGCTTTCAGGCTCTTGTGATGGTTGCGTTCGTCTCTGGCAGACTAATCCTAATGCCCGCAAAATGAACCTGATCCAGAGCATATCCATCGCTGGTTTCATCAACGGACTGACCTTCAATGCCGATGGCACCAAGCTGTATGTGGCCACCGGCCAGGAGCACCGCCTGGGTCGCTGGTGGCGACTCAAGGAGGCCAGGAACCAAGTAGTTGTAGTCGACGTTAAGTTACAGAGCGCGGCCAGCAGTTAGGTTAACTTATAAGCTTAAGTAAAGTTGTATAGTTCTTTTAACAAGATACGGCGTGAAAAAATATAACTAAAAGAGAGATTTGAATCTTCTGCCTGGAGGTTTGGATTTGTTTAATTTTTTACAATATGAAAAGTAAAATGTTTCATTTTTGCATATAAGCAATAAAATGTATCATTTAAGCTTAAAATAAGCAAATTAATAGGGTATTGAGGGGAAATAGTCAGACGTTTTTTGGAAACGGTTAGTTATGGTCATTAAAAAACGACGTGTTAGGGATTAATCTTAAGAAAATGTAAATCAATTTAGCTGTTAAAACAATGTTCTGGGCTGGCATAGTTATGCTAGTCATCATCATCATACTGCTAGTGATGTAGCTCAAACTTTAAAAACAGTAACTACTTAAAATATTGAATCTAAAATAGACTGGTCTTCGTTTAATGCTTTGTTATAAAAAAGTTTTTTGAAAAACTGTTTCTGGAATAACCCTATTTGGTTCTGGTCTTGACTACTTTTCAATAGCAAAGTGATGGTCACCCTGACACTGTTACAAAACAACAAGTGCTGAGATGCAGCCGAAACTAAAAGCCGGTGGGGGAATATTCTCCTTTTTCAAGACTGAAAAGGGCCGGAAGCTGGTCTTCTATGCGGCGGGAGCCACCACGGTTGGCCTCTTCGTGGGCAACTTCGTGCCGCACACGTTTGGCCTGAAGTATTATCGGGATTTCGTGCAGTGCTATCAGTGGGTGAGAAACTGATTGTACCTAGAGCCATTCAAACAATTTATCCATTTGTAGACATGGCGTGGCGCGGCCAGTGCCAGAGGCAGTGCAGCAGCGCCTGGAGAAGGCTTTGGATCAGTTGGGCCTAACCCCCTTTGAGCGCAAGTTCGTGAAGCCATTCACCGTCTTTGGATTCGATCTGTTCCAGGCGGGCACCACCAAGTTGCGATTCGGAGGCGCCCTGGGCATTCCCGTCAACTATGGGTACGGCAGTCCGGAGGAGATTAAGCGGGCTGACATTCGCTTCAGGGACCAACAAATCAACTGGAGTTCTCCCAGCGGAAAGCTCCTGGAAGAGGCCATCGTTCTGAATGAAGATGAGCAGATTTTTGGTTTGAGCAAGGCGGTGCTGCAGCTTCAAACTCATCGGGTGCTCCTAAACTCGATCTTTCCCAGCGTTAGCTTCCTCATGGTGTACACCATGGGTCACTTCCTGAACCTGCGCCTCGATCTGTTTGCACGCCATGGAAGCGTGAGTGTTTCTATGATGGATACCAGCAAAGTCCTTTAACTGATTTCCTTTTACGATCCTCAGGTACGCTTTGTGCTTTACAGCATTCTGGGACTCTTTGGCCTGGGCGTCTGGTCCTTTATGAAGGACTACAACCAGGTGTCCACGGACGCAGAGATTGATAAAAGGCTAGCCAGCATGGGAGCCCAGTTCGTGGCCGCCGGAGCCAGCTACTATGATAAGCATTTAAAAAAGAATATCGCCCTGAGGGATCTGATTGGTGACGACACCTACACCGCCCTGGGCAACGAGAACTACATGATTCGCCAGAAATCCATGCCACTGACAGCCCGGAAATCCTTCTTCCTCGAGAAGCTGGAGGAAATCAAGAAGGCGCAAGAGCTTGAAACGCAATAAACAGATTTATTGTTACGTTTTTATTGAATATTGAAGAAAAAAAAATGTTCCAATTATTTTACAAATATCTTTATGGTGTAGTAGCCTATAACAAACAGTGGATAGTTGTCCTTAGCCTACGGAATTTCGATTGGATTATCTCCTCAAAGAGTCTCGAAAATTGACTAGCTATCATGTTCTAACGCTGGAAATGTTGCATGGAATGCTAAGGTTGCACGGGGGTTAACGTATTTAAAATGTTTCCTCGCCCACTACATCGCTGATGGTGGCCACCAGTCGTCGGGCATGCTCCACGGCACAGGTGGCGGTGACCAGTCCCAAATGGATGCAGTACAGCTCATAAACGCGCACTTTGGCCGGCGACAGCTTGGGAAAACACAAATCCGCGAGATCATGGTAATAGTCCATGGTTAGAGCTCCTGGTTCGGTTGGGGACTTAGAACCGTTGCCACTAGCTGCTCCAGAGGACAGAAAGTGCTGCTGCAAATCCATGTTGGTGTTGAGAATGCCACCTGACGGATCCTCGAACCAGAGGAAGTAGGAGTAATGAAATGCCTTGTCCTTCCACATCACTGTGGTCTGGCCCTTCTTGAGGTAGCTCCTTGTTATGTCTACCATGCTCCAGAGCTTCGTCTTGGGCACCAGCTGGTTGGGTCGCAGATCTGGAGCCAGCATTTGTCCCTTGCTACGGTTTACATACATAAAGTGCACCAGGCCGGGAAAGTCCTCCAAGTAAGCATCAATGGAAATGTTGCGAGTGGCCTTGACGGCCAGAAATTCGGCGAACTCAAGCAGCTTGGCCTCTACATTGGCTGCCGTATCGGACAGTTGGTCCAGCTCGTGGACACAGGAGCTGTCGCAGCAGGCCAGCGTGAATATCTGCTTCAGTTCCTCTCCAAACGAGGGCAGATTGGACTCGATCCTCACTAGAAGCTCCCGCTCATAGCTCTTGAAGTACTCTGTGTACATCTTTCGCAGGTTCTCCCATTTGGCGGCGAATTTCTTGGTGCAGGTTTCCAGGTCCTCGGTTTCCGATCGCTGTTTCAGGTATCGTTTCAAAGCGTTCAAGGCCTGGACAATGAAGGACTCGAGATTGTCGTAGGCGGGCTTCAGGGCATCCGAATCGCCCTGATGCTGCACGGCCACGATCTTCTGGAGTACAAAGAACGAGTCATAGATGCAGCTGGTCAGTGGCATGTGGGCGTACTCAATGACCTGCAGGAGTACTTGGTTGCCGTGCAGGCGTGAGATGTGGACAATACTGGGAACGCAGCCGGAGTTGACGTCGTGAGAGACTCCTTGCAGAAACACAGCCACTGCCCGCTGTGCCGGGGACTTGGGTGCCTGAAGAGCACGCGCCATGAGGCTGAGAAAGAGCAGATCGGCGGCAGCGAGCGGCAGAGCTTGCCGGGTGCTGTTAACGGCCACCAGTTTGTGGGAAACGAGCAACAGGGCGTGTGCCCGGGGCAATCCCAGCTGCCGAATGTGCTCCAGCGTGGCGTCCAGTGTCAAATGCACAGTCCTCTTCAGCTCCGCGTTGATCACCAGCTTGGGCATGGCTTCCAGCAAGTATGTCTGGTCCTCCTGCCACAACAGATTCTCGTAGGTCTCGAGGCACTGAGTCAGCAGCTCCAGTTGCATGGCACCCGCCTGGGCCGCAAACAAGTTGGCACCATAGCAGTAGCGTGTCAACGTTATAGCCACACCCATTTGACGTCCCAGCAGCTCGACGGGAATCTGTCCGATCTTCAAAAAGGTGAAGCCCAGCAGTTCGCCGAACACCAAATTAAAGCCCTGCTCGCACTGCAGACTGGAGTAGGCGTTATCGAACTGGCATTGCATTATCCGCTGGGAGCCAACAATGGGGCTGAAAATCTGCAACAGGATGTTGCTGTCCAGGTGGCCGCCGGCTCGGAGCAGACCCTGACTGTTGGCCACATTTCGAATCTTCTGCGTCAGCGGCTCGTTTAGCTTTTGAAACACAACGTCGTTAGCGCTGTTGAAAACAATCAATCCGTTCATTTTCTTATCAGCATCAGCAAAACACCAAATACACAACAAAACTTTCTCCGCTCTCTTGCAGGTGCTGGGTAACGGAATGCCGTTGGCTTTGATAAGGAAAGGTTACCTCTGACATTCGGCGTTACACAACACTTACAATGTTCAGTGCTGAGCAAGTAAACTTTATTAAAGGCAGAATATAGCTACTTCCGCTTAAAACCAAATTATGATTTAAAGATCCGTCTCTTTAGTAAGACAAATATTTGGGTTTTTATTAAACTTTACTGTTAATCTTTTTGAGGCATTTTGAATACCCTTTAGGGAATTAAAATTTTTGACTATTTTCTTATGTTTTCTCTAAAATCATTCATTACTAAACTGTAATCCTTACATCCCAAAAACTATGTTATTTGTTTTGATATGGTTAATAAGCGAACATTAAACGCAAGAATAAATTCGGATTTTTTAAATGGTATAAGTGTATTCTACCATTGTCTTTTTCCTTATATGTTTTACCTAGGAATTTGGAAAAAATAGCTAAATGCTGTTCTATTGACGTTATACAACACTGACAACAGCTGACACTCTTCCTCTTGCCACATGCGCTTTTGTTATCAAATTCAGACAGACAGTGATTTATCCACTGATACAGCATTTCGACAGCAATGGGACGACTGATTCTAGAACACACGCTGCAGGGCCACAAGGGACGCATCTGGGGGGTGGCCTGGCATCCCAAGGGCAACGTTTTCGCCTCCTGCGGCGAGGACAAGGCGATCCGCATCTGGTCGCTGACCGGGAACACTTGGAGCACGAAGACCATTCTGTCCGACGGCCACAAGCGCACCATCCGCGAGATCCGGTGGTCTCCATGCGGCCAGTACTTGGCTTCGGCCAGCTTCGACGCCACCACAGCCATCTGGTCAAAGTCCTCTGGAGAATTTGAATGCAACGCCACCTTGGAGGGTCACGAGAACGAGGTGAAGAGCGTTAGCTGGTCGCGATCCGGTGGATTGCTGGCCACCTGCTCGCGGGACAAGTCAGTGTGGATCTGGGAGGTGGCTGGCGACGATGAATTTGAGTGCGCTGCTGTTCTGAATCCGCACACACAGGACGTCAAGCGGGTGGTGTGGCATCCGACCAAGGAGGTCCTGGCCTCGGCCTCGTACGACAACACCATCAAAATGTTCGCAGAGAGCCCCCTGGACAATGATTGGGACTGCACGGCGACACTAACTTCCCACACGAGCACGGTTTGGAGCATTGACTTTGACGCGGATGGCGAGCGCTTGGTTTCCTGCAGCGATGACACCACGATAAAGATCTGGCGAGCCTATCACCCTGGCAATGAAGCCGGAGTGGCCACGCCCGACAAGCAGACCGTGTGGAAGTGCGTTTGCACCCTTTCCGGCCAGCACTCGCGAGCCGTCTACGATGTGTCCTGGTGCAAGTTGACGGGTCTGATAGCCAGTGCCTGTGGCGATGATGGCATTCGCATCTTTAAGGAGACCAGCGACTCCAAGCCGGATGAACCCACGTTCGAACGACTCACTGCGGAGGAGGGTGCCCACGATCAGGACGTAAACTCAGTGGAGTGGAATCCAGTGGTGGCCGGGCAACTAATCTCCTGCAGCGATGACGGCACCATCAAGATTTGGAAAGTGACCGAATAGCAAACCGATCAATGTGTGTTAAATTTAAGTGGTTAAACAATAATGAAATTTGATTTTTGTACAGTTTCTGCATAATAAGAAATTGAAGTATTCAAATCACGGATGAAATGGATTACATATAGATAAGGGATGCAATATAGCTATTTGCTGAGGAAGGGCTCCTGCAGGGTTTTGTACAGCTTCTTGGCCTTCCGGGGACCCAGTCCCATTACCTGGGACAATCGCTCTTCGCTTGCAGTGATGATGTTGCCCAGATTGCCAAAGGTTTGCAGCAGGGTGACGGCGTCGGTCTTGTTTACTGGCTTGATGTTGGTTAGGGCAGCCACAAGCTGAAAAATATTTGAGCTACATTTTTCATCACCATGATGGGTATTTCATCACAAGTACCTTCTGATGCGGATTGGACTCCACCCGCTCCATAATCAAATCTGGCGGCCGCTTTTCAAACTGTTTGTAAGTCTCAATGATTTTGCCCGCCTCTTCGGCGTTCCAGGCCAACATCATGGTCAGATCGGCCAGTAGTGAGATCCTGGTCAAGCTCTTCAGGGCATTGTGTGGCTCCGGTGTGTCCACTTGGACCAGGAGCACCCGCAGCTCATACATCTTGCCTAGAGTCTTCAGCCGCTGGCAGATGTAGTCCGGATTGAGATTGTGGTACTTCAGGGATAGGTATAGAACGCAGGATGTCCGACCCACAACATAATCTGGCACGATATCGTCACGGAACTCCAGCGGAACATTGAGGATGGATTTCAGGATGGGATTGCCGCGCTGTTTGCTGTGGACGAGAACGCTGTGGGGATTTGATGGCGCCTTGGCGGGAACAGGAGTGGCGGATGCGGAACTGGCCGTGTTGCTACTGGAAGTGGTATCAACTAACGTAGCCGGTGGAGCCACTTCTACCACTTTGGGTTGCTTTGCCGCCGAGGGCATTTCCATGGAGCCCAGAACATCGTTAAAGGAATCGTCGTCGAAATCATCCATTGTTGTTTAAACGTATCAACCAAATGAGCTTTCGAATAGGTAAGAAATCGAGTGACGAAGTCAAGCCAATTTATAATATTCGTTTCAGTTGATTCTTAAGTTAATTATCAATTCTTCCACGGTTGTTCTTCCAGCCCTTAACAAGAAGCGAGTAAGTAAATAAGATTATTTTTCCACTTGACTTTTTAAAATTGTGCAGATTTCTCTGTTGAGATAATATTTCAATAAGTGCGTTTCGTCACTATGTGACGACTGCAATCGATTATCGAAATCGTTTCTATCAAGGCATTTTGGTTAATTTGTAATGCCCTGCCACGGTCACACTAATTGCGGCAAAATTTTGACGCGGAATTAAAAGCAAAGGACGCCAGGATTTG